GATTGGCCAAGTGCAGCATTGATGGACTCAGGTGTGACGACAATAATAGTGAGGTTAGCCCAGGATCGGGCAGTGTTTCATTCTGCTGTGCATAGGGTCGCTATGAGTTGGTACCGACTTGAAGGCACCTAATAACAACCATAAATATATAGTCTTTGAAACTCCCACCAAATGCCTGGGTGTTGTTGTCAGGTGCTGTTGAGTCAGTACCAACTCATAGTGACCTTATGCACAACAGAACGAAACACTTCGCTGCCCAGTCCTGAGCCAATTGCACAATGGTTGCTTCGCTTCAGCCCTATGCAGATATGAGCTGTTATTGATCCACAAGGGAATTAGATAGCTTGCTAATAATGTAAATAAGGCATGTTTGTGAGGGTGAGGCCATGCAAATCAGGCACATGGAATCCTAATGAGGGGACTGGTAAGTCAAGTTTGCCATTTTACCAAGCTTACAATGAGCCATCCCCGAGTTGGGAAAGAGGGACCTCATGACTATCAAAGAGAAGCACCAGGAGCAGTGTGGGTCCTTTGGACCTGGGCTCCCTGCACTGAGTATCTCCTTGATTTAGGAGACAGAGCTGTGACACCGTGACACTGGAGATGGCAAGAGGCAGTGAGAAGTGACAGCAGCAGTAGAGAGACTGTGGTAGCAGAGGCAGCAGAAGCAAGGGACTGGCATAGGAAAAGCCGTAGCTTCCTGGCCCAAAGAGTGAGGAAGCTGAGTGCCTTTGGGCAGGAGTCTTCCTGGTGAATTACTGGCAGAGCAAAAGAGCAAGGTAGAGACCAGGCCAAGGAGTTGAGTGCCAGACCGTGGTGTGACGGCAGGCACCACTAAGAAGAGTCTGTCCTGATTGAAGACGTGTACCCGAGTCTTCTCTGAGCCTGGGGTACTTCCCTACTAAACTTCATCATCATGACTATTGTCTGTGAGTTCTGGGCAGTCCTTGCCATGAATTCTTGAACCCAGAAGATAAGCAAAGAGTGCTGTGGGTGGAAGAGTTGATGTGAGAATTGGTAAAAAGGTTGGAAGGTGGAGGCATTTCTGACCTCCGCCTCATAGGGATCAGCCTTGATCCTCAGCTCCTCTTCGTGAAGTTAGAGGAGATCAGAGGCCCCAGCATGCCATTTTTACCAGGACGGTGGTCACTTCAGGAGAAAATATTCAGAGGGAAAGAAGTTAAATTTAGGATGTCGTATGTTGATGTTGGACATGTACTTCTGGTGTGGCCCTGCCGGTAACATGCTAAACTGCAAAATCGGTTTGGGCCGTAAAGGCCGGAAGTTCAAACTCACTAGCTGCTCCTCAGAAAACCTGTACAGAGTCACTATGAGTCCGATCCCAACTGGATGGCACTTAGTAGCATGTGGACATAGCTGGGGAATACATGGGTGGAAACACTAGACAGAGATCAAAGCTGCAGCTGTTTGAACCACCAGCAAGCACAGCAGTAGCTGCTGAGGTGCTCAAACTGTGTGGGAGCTCTCTCCAAGGAGACAGCATGAGCCAGTTGCTCAGTCAGAGTCCCAAGCAGCAGAAGAATTCAGCGGGGGGCCTAGAGGAGGAATAGCTGCAGAGGAGGCTTGACAGGTCTTTGGCTTTGAAACAGAGAACACAAGTTCACTGAAGAGCCCAGGGTTCTGGGAGTCCAGTGCAGGTACTTACTTAGAAGGAGGAGGGCACCTACTGAGGTAGACTCATACAGGTACCAACGTAAGAGGGTACTGAAAATACATTGTTAAGTGACTTTGTAGTAAAGAATTTAACCTTACCCCAACAGATATAGGAGTCCTGGTGTGGTCCTGTGGGTTAATGCGCTGGACTGCAAAGCCATTTGAACTGCAAGGTTGGAGGTACAAGCTCACCAGCTGCTCCTCGGAAACCCTATATAGGGTTGCTATGGGTCAGAACCGACTCAAAGGCACTCAACAACAAAGAAGACATATGGCCTTTACCATTGGTTCCTGGGAGGTAATTGCTAAGCCCTTGGAATGTCCTCTCTGATACAGGGTCTTTGTCTACCTGAGAGCCCTGTGTCATGTAAGATGTGTTTTATAGTGGGGACTTCCGGTTACAAGGTATAGTTAGGCCACCAGAGGGGCTGGAGACAGAGATCAGTCACAAGAGCAGTTAACTAGGGGTCATGTGTACATGACCCTAGTAAAAACTCTGGACACTAAGGTTTAGGTGCATTTCCCTGGTTAGCAATACTCAATGCATAGTATTTTCATTCCTATCACAAGAATTTAAATACTGTCCATAACTCCACTGGGAGATGACATTTGGAAAATCTACACTGGAACTCTCTTAGACTCTGCCCTATGCATCTCTTCCCTTGGCTGATTTTAATCTTTATTCTTTGCTACAATAAACCATAACCACATAATAGATTTCAGTGAGTTCGGTGAGTCCTTCAAACAAATGATCAAATCTGAGAGTGGTCGTGGGGACCTCTTGAACTTGCCATTGCATAACTGTCAGAAGTGATGGTGGTCTGTGGACTGCTTACAATAATTGATATTCTTTTATCAGGCACTGAAGCATATTGGTTAAAAGCATGGGCTTTGCGAAGGCTATATGAATGAGGGCTGTCCTGAATGCCAAAAAAAGGAATGTGACCTCTACCTCGGAGACATTTCTAGACCTTATCTTTCCTTCTTTCCTGACACTGAACCTGAGTTATATCCTGTTACTTCTAGTTGTATCCTGTTGTTGTTGTTAAGCGCCTTTGAGTTAGTTCCGACCCATAGCGACCCTGTATAGGGCTTCTGAGGAGCAGCTAGTGAGCTGACTTTGCGGTTCAAACGGACTTTGCAGTCCAGCGCATTAACCCACAGAGCCACACCAGGACTCCTGTATCTTGTTACTTATGGTTGCATGCTACTCCTACCCTAATAAATTACTTAACTGTGGGCTCTGTGAAATGTTAGAGCAAACTATAAAACTCAATAGAGAAAGAGTGTCATGGTGGCGAGTGGCTGGTGTCAAAGATCATAGAAAAGAAAAGTCAGAAAGTAGGGACACACTGAATGAACCTCTGCCTTTTAACAGCAACAGCAACGTATGGGATTAAAATGATAACAGGAACTTGAGAGATGAGCCAGAAACCTTAGGGGACAACGGAGGAACAACAACTCAAAAAAGAGGGTGATGACGGTGGTACAATGCGGAGAATGTCATCAATGTCACTGAGTGTGCATGTAAAGATGGTTAAAGTGTTCTCAGCAACAAAACAACAAAATAAAATTTAAAAAACAGAAGAAACTATTTTTAGAATAGCAAAAGAAAAAAAGAGTATATTCCAATAAATGTCACACTCACCTGGTGTTCAATCATTTTCGGCTATTCTTGGAAAAGGAGCTGTGTGTGTCCTGTGAAAACAGAGATGGGAGGGGGTGAGCGAGGGGGGAGAAAGAGAAAGGAGAACAGAACCTTGAAGGATGGACCAGGTTTGCCTTTCAGTCCTCAAATTCCCTATGTACACCATGTAAAACGAAATTTATAAAGTGTTTTACTCAAAACGAAATGACCGAATTAAATCCAGCTCTTGCTGAATTAAACTGGTCTTTCCATTGCCTTTCTGCCTAGGACTAAATGTTTGCTGAATCAAGGCAAACTTCGAACCAGCTCCACCTGGTGTCTGGATATGTTAATTGCTAGAAGTCAAAAATAACTGACTTCTCTGTAGTAAAGCCAGTTTGTGGAAAGAATAAATATACCCCAAGGAAGGGGGTTTTGACACAGAAACAATGCTGTCAAATGGTCTTAAGAAATATTCCTTTCATGATAAAAAATAGAAACAAAGTCTCAAGAAAATACCTTGGACAGCCAAGGTTTCTGTTTCCCAGGGAACCAAGACGATTTCACTTGAGCAAGCAGTTTCTAAAGAAAATGCCTTACTACCAGCTTCACCCCAGGGAATGTTTTATATCAACAGAGACATTTTTATAACCTGTTCTGAAAATGATACATTGTAAATGTTCTGTGATTATGATTGTAAATTTTGGAGTCCCCCTAAACATACCTCACATTGGTATCCACTGGAAGCCAACCCTACTTTTTTTTTTTTTCAACCTCAATAAAAAACCAATCAATGATTTTATTGTTAATATTATTATCTGTCCCTTCTCAGGACCCACTCTCTGAAATTGCCATGTTTTCATTTATGTGAGCTGGTGGGTTTTCCATTTGGATATCTCTCTAAGGTCTAGCAAAATCTCTTAATTGTTATTTAATGCCTGATTGGTTTCCCCTATGACAATCTTGTACAAAACCCTATGCTTTAAAATATTGTAGGTAGAAGAAAAATAGTGATTTTAATGTACAGCTTCAGAGATCAAAATTAATTATCCACTCAGCAGAGAGGTATCTAAAACAGACTGTCTAAGAAATAATAGGTGTGTTATACGGTAACGCCAAGGTCAGCATTTCAAACCCACCTGCCACCACTTGGAAACCCTATCCAGGGTCACTTTGAAACAGGACCAAATCCACATCACTTAACAATAACAACAACCAAGGAAGAACTGAAAGTTATGGAAAACAAAACAAAACCCAACAACCTTAAAACTTGAAGTATTGGACCCAGGTGTATGCTGCATAGGGCTTCTGTGACTGCTAGGAAAGTAGCATAATACATAAAAAGTAAACAAATTCTATAAAAATAAATGCCCAGTAAACTAATTCTATAACATTAGTTTAATGCTCAAGCCATGACAATAAGAAATTATTATAAGGCTACATTTTATTTATCCAGTAGATTCTTTTCAAGTGTTGTCATTAAAAAGAATTTTTAACAGATGAAAGCAATTTTTAAGAAGTTATTTTTACAGAAATAATTATGACTTAATAGATTATAAAAGAAAAAGGGAAAAGCATTATAAATAAATATTTTATGATATACTTCAATGTTTAATATTAGAACTGTATTATATTAAAATGATCAATGAGACAACTCATGATTTTTAAAAGTCTTTTATGACTTTTCTCACTGAAATGACCCCACGTGGTATCCTCACGCCCAGAGAAATCTGCTGCCTCCCATTAACACCCGTATTCTGAGCTCTGTAACTAATTTCCTCTAATAAAAATTGGAACTCCTTGGAAATTGGCTGAGTCCACATTTGGAGCAGATAATGCAAGGTACCCTCTGTAATCTTGGGGTGTCAGAACACTGGGCACTTCTTTAGTGGGTGGGTCCTATAAAAAGGGCACAAAATTTTAAGTCTGCAAAACCCATGAATTTTATAATGACATTCAAAATCACAATATCAAAATGTCTTTCCTTGTAAAATAATTGGTACTACAATTAAGAGGACAATTATAACAAAGTATTCATGTCTTATTAAATATGGAACTCAATTAGCATAAAACATTAACAAAGAATGTTTCATGTTTTCACTTACAGAAATGAAAAGTCCTCTTTGGAAATGCTATACAGGGTTGTTATGGGTCGGAACTGACTCAATGGCACTTAACAACAACAACATAAATAGGTCTGAATATACTATACCACAATCTGTAGCATGGGAGTGAAAATTCACAGCCAGTATCAACACGTTGCTTGTCAGAGTGTAAACTGGTTCTATCAAGTTGGAAAACTGCTTGGCCATATATATTAAAGCTAACATAGAACCTCCTATGCCCCAGTAGCTCCACTCCTAGGTCTATACTACAGAAATCAATGTATATTGTCCACAGAAAGACTTGGCTGAAAGTGTTAATTGCAGCTTTCATGATGATGTCATTTTCTGTTTCCTCTGAGTCTTTACTCAGGCAAGAGGTCTTGGATACTGTGTGACTCATTCAGGAGATTCCTGTTCCAAGTTCCCTTCTCCTGGACTAGTGAGTCTTATCACTGCCAGACCTTCAGAGCTCCATTTGTCACTAGTAGCTGATAGGGACTTCTGTAGGTGACCAAGGTCCAGTGGTCCTAAGGAGGTGGGAGCAGAAGAGCCCTGCTGTCCAGTGAGGTGGTGAGATCCACAGGTCTGCAGGATGCCCAGGGAACCTGAATATGAGCAGGCCTCTTGGTGAGGGTCATATAACAGCCCCTCTCCAAACAGTCCCAGGGCCTCAGGGGAAGGAGCCTGTAGAGACCTGTGTGTTGTTTGTTGTTAACCCTGTAGAGGGTTCCTGAGGAGCGTCTAATGAGTTTGAACCACTGACCATGCAGTTCAAACTGACCCTGTGGTCTACTACTTACCTACAGCGCCATACAGGACTCCAGGGATCCTCTATAGCTAAATGATGACTCTACTCTGAGTTTACATTAGGAGGAAAGAGTCTGAACCTAGGAACGACTTTAAACACGTCTGAAGCCAAGTAATTCCTCTGACTGACTGAGGGAATCCAGGAGAGACATTTTATTTCTCTGATCCTCAGTTTCCTCATCTATAAAAACAGGGCGAGGTCATGAACAGAAATAGAGCCAGGCACCCTGGGCTCAAATTCAGGCTGCCAGTTACTGCATGAGTTACTTTGTTTCTCTGTACCTCAGTTTCCTCATTTGTCCCCCTTCATAGGTCTACTATGAAGATTAAATGAATTAATACAGAAAGGCCTCAGGACAGCGGCAAGCACAGAGAACTGTTTGGTGGTGTGGCTTTGATCCTAGATGCAATTTAATGAGTGCCTACTTAATAGTGTAAGGAGCTCTGGTAGCGTAGTGGTTACGAATCGGGCTGCTAATATCACAGTCAGCAGTTCAAAACTACCAGCTGTTCCGCGGGAGAAAGATGAGGCTTTCTGCTCCCATAAAGATTTACAGCCTCGGAAACCCTGTACAGGGTCACTATGAGTTGGAACCAACTCCACAGCACATAACCACCACCACTGCAATGCACTTGGTGTCTTGGAGTGGCGCTGTGGGATAATGCATTGAATCACAAGGTCAGTTTGAACTGCAAGATCAGCAGTTCAAATTCACCAGCTGCTCCTCAGAAACCCTATACAGGGTCGCTATGAGTTGGAACTCCACGGCACATAACAACAACAACAACAACAACAACTTAATGGTGTGCTAAGTAATTCTCTGGTATGCAGCTGCAGGATAATGTGCTGGACCACAAGGTCACTTTGAACTGCAAGGTTGGCGGTTCAGAGTCACCAGTTGCTCCTCAGAAATCCTACACAGAGTCGCTGAGTCAGAACTGACTTGATGGCACTTAATAACAAAGGAACTCCCAAAGATTGACTCATTTTGTCCTCACCAAAATACTGAGTTTGGTGTTTCTTATGCTGCCTTTTATACCAATGAGAAACAGAGGCACAGGTAGATTGAGGAATGTGTCCAATCTCACAGCTGAGCAAAGCAATACCAAAGGGATTACCTTGACCCTCCAGGAGGGACACCAAGTCACCTCTTTGTCTACCTCATAGGGATGAGCCATCGCCTCAGCAGTGATGGAATAGAACCGGGTTTTGCTGCTCCCAACAGAAAGGCATGTGTATATGTGGACTGAATGCTAGGAGAATTGGTTCCTTGAATATAAACATGAGGAACTGAAATAAAATAGCTCTTAAATATGTATTCTAGGTAAACACTTAACTATAGAAAACCAGGAAAATAAAATGAAGGAAAAAGTTGTTGCTGTTGTTGTTGTTAGTGCCATTGAAATGGTTCTGACTCACAAGGACCCAATGTACAACAAAAGGAAGCACCATCTGGTCTTGTGTGTCCCTCACAATTGTTATGTTTGAGCCCACTGCTGCTGCCATGATATTAATCCATCTTGTTGGATGGCCCTCCACTTTACCATGCATGATGTCCTTCTCCAGGGACTGGCCCCTCCTTATAAACATGTCACAAGTATAAGACACCAAGTCTCGCCATCCTGGCTTCAAAGAAGCATTATGGCTGTACTTCCTCCAACACAGACTTGTTTGTTTCTGGCAGTCCAGGGTACTTTTAATGTTCTTCTCCGGCTCTGTAATGCAAATGCATTGATTCTTCCTTATTCAGTGTTCTTCCTTATTCAGTGTTTAACTTTCAAAAGCATCTGAGGCCACTGAAAATACCATGCCATCAGTCAGGCACACCTTCGTCCTCAAACTGATATTTGTGCCCTTGAACACTTTAAAGAGGTCTTTTGCAGCAAATTTACTTAATGCAATGCGTTGTTAGATTTCTTGGCTGCTGTTTCCATGATTGTTGATTGTGGGTCCAAACAAAATTAAGTCTTAGACAACTTCAATCTTTTCTCCATTTATCATATTATTTATTGGTCCAGTGGTGAGGATTTTTGTTTTCTTTACATTGAAGTGCAATCCATACTGAAGGCTGCGGTCTTTGATCTTCATCAGTAAGTATTTTAAGTCCTCTTTGGCTCCAGCAA